GGGTATCGAAACATGTTCATCTATACATTGCAGATATAACCGAAACTCAGCTCTAAACATGAATAACTTCTTCTTCTTCTTTTCTTCAACCATGTACCTCAGCATTTGTGCCCTTTTTTCAATGCATTGTACAAGCTGGTGTTCATTTCTGTTAGGTTGCTCCTGATGTTGTTGTTCCATCTCTTGCGTAGTCTTCCCCTTGCTCTGTGTTCATTATATTTTTTCAGCGTGGCTCTCTCTGTGTCAGTTGGTACCAGGGTATTCTTGTCAGGTGGCCAAACCATCTCAATTGTTGTTCTTTAATGAATTGTAACATTAATAACAAAAACAGCAACCTTGGTGTGGGTTTTAGTACCCCATATGATGGTGGGGAGTACAGACCCACTGCCTCCCTATCCCCCTCCCCCCCCCCCCCCCCCCCCCCCCCCAAAAAAAAAATGTCCTAAACATTGACTAATCATATTGGTCGGCTAATCAAATATTCTAATGAAGTCCAGAGTGCACCCTGCCAGTGAGGCAAAAAACCAACAGTCTGCACATAAATAAGGCAGACTGGTAAAATGCACTTGCCATGTGGGTTCTTAGTTTCCTTCAAAGTTGGAGTGCATCTGCCTGACCGGCAAGGAACCAACAGTCTGCAGGCAAGGAACCAACAGTCTGTATACAAATAAACTAGACACGTAAGATGTCCACACACAAGTCCATTCTGCAACAAGACTAAAGTCCAGAATTGGACAAACAACCAGAACTTTCTGCTGGAGTTTACAGCCGGTGAACGTAAAGAAGAAAAAGAAGAAGAAGAAGAAGCAGAAAAAGAAGAAGAAGAAGAAGCAGCAGTGGCGGCAGCAGCAGAGGCAGCAACAGCAGAAATAGAAGAAGAAGAAGAAGAAAAAGAAGAAGGGGGATCTGAGGAAGACAAGGAAGCGGAGAGGAAGAAAAAGAAGAAGGGGGATCTGAGGAAGACAAGGAAGCGGAGAGGAAGAAAAAGAAGAAGGGGGATCTGAGGAAGAGGAGGAAGAGGAGAGGAAGAAAAAGAAGAAGCAAAATGGAAGTGCACACAAACCCTACCTCTGGAACAAGATGAAATTCCAGAAGTGAACGAACAACCACAACTTTTCCCCCAGAGTTTACAGCCTTTGACCACTAAGAAGAAGGAGATAACAGGAAATTAGGAAGATGTGCAACGAAAACACACAAACAAAACAACATGATGGTACTTACCGAAGTACTTTTCCTTCTTTTGGAGTCAGAAAATTTGTCACTAGATCTACCGCCTGATGTTGATGGAATAAAGAAGGTGAATTATGGGTTCAAAACATTTGTAATTTTTTTTAATAATACAGTCAAGATACAGGAATGAAGAAGTCATGACAGGAAACAAACAGACATGACAGGAATAAAGTCTACGTGACAGGAATGAAGTCTACGTGACAGGAATGAAGCACACGTGACAGAAATAAAGCAGGCAAAACAGGAATAAAACAGACATAAAAGGAATGAAGCAGAATTGAAGCAGGCATGACAGCAATGAAACAGAAATGATAGGAATGAAGCAGACATCAGAGGAATGAAGCAGACATCCCAGGAATGAAGCAGACATCACAGGAATGAAACAGACATCACAGGAATGAAGCAAAGATCACAGGAATGAAGCAGACATCACAGGAATGAATCAGACATCACAGGAATGAATCAGACATCACAGGAAAGAAACAGACATCACAGGAATGAAGCAGACATCAGAGGAAAAAAGCAGACATCACAGCAATGAAACAGAAATGATAGGAATGAAGCAGACATCCCAGGAATGAAGCAGACATCACAGGAATGAAACAGACATCACAGGAATGAAGCAGAGATCACAGGAATGAAGCAGACATCACAGGAATAAATCATAAATCACACGAATGAATCAGACATCATAGGAAGGAAACAGACATCACAGGAATGAAGCAGACATCCCAGGAATGAAGCAGACATCACAGGAATGAAACAGACATCACAGGAATGAAGCAGAGATCACAGGAATGAAGCAGACATCACAGGAATGAATCATAAATCACACGAATGAATCAGACATCATAGGAAGGAAGCAGACATAACAAGAATGAAGCAGACACAACAGAAATGAAATAGCCATACAGCTCCATAAAAATGTTAGGTGTCATCTCCATAGTGAATGAAGGCTGGCTACAGTCTACCACTGTATGCTAGCAATGGAGCTGCACAAAAATGACATGCAGACATGGGAATAACAATTGACAGACACGATAGTAGACTGGTGGACAAATAAATAGTTAGAAGACAAACAGATGAGTTGAGCTGAGTTAATAAATGACAACACAATGCTCAGGACATTTCCAAAAGCGGTGAGTCCACCTCTTCAGCAACTAACTCGGAGTTCTTATTTGTATGGTAACAGTTTACCTGCTTCCTGAGTGCTGAGTATTCACTGTTATAAGTGGGACTTTTTCACTTTCAGATCTTGTAACAATGACAGTATCTTCTTTTTGATCTTTCTCATTTTACAGTACATGTTGTTTGGCTTTGGAAGTCATGTCTTTCCTACAGCTTTCTGTCTTGTATACTTGCAATCATCTCTGACACAGACGCAATCATCTCTGATACAGATGCAATCATCTCTGACACAGATGCAATCATCTCTGACACAGATGCAATCATCTCTGACACAGATGCAATCATCTCTGACACAGAGGCAATCATCTCTGACACAGAGGCAATCATCTCTGACACAGATACAGTCAGCTCTGACACAGGGGCAATCATCTTTGACACAGGTGCAATTATCTCTGACACAGATGCAATCATCTCTAACACAGATGCAATCATCACTGACACAGAGGCAATCATCTCTGCAAACATGCAATCATCTCTGACACAGATGCAATCATCTATGACACAGATACAGTCAGCTCTGACACAGGGGCAATTATCTCTGACACAGAAGCAATCATCTCTGACTTAGATGCAATCATCTCTGACACAGATGCAATCATCTCTGGCACAGATGCAATCATCTCTGACACAGATGCAATCATCTCTGACACAGAGGCAATCATTTCTGACAGACAGCAATCATCTCTGACACAGAGGCAATTGTTTCTGACACAGAGGCAATCATCTCTGACACAGGTGCAATCATCTCTGACACAGATACAGTCAGCTCTGACACATGGGCAATTATCTTTGACACAGAGGCAATCATCTCTGACATAGATGCAATCATCTCTGACACAGATGCAATCATCTCTGACACAGATGCAATCATCTCTGACACAGGTGCAATCATCTCTGACACAGGTGCAATCATCTCTGACACAGGTGCAATCATCTCTGACACAGATGCAATCATCTCTTACACAGATGCAATCATCTTTGACACAGGTGCAATTATCTCTGACACAGATGCAATCATCTCTGAAAACATGCAATCATCTCTGACACAGATGCAATCATCTATGACACAGATACAGTCAGCTCTGACACAGGGCAATTATCTCTGACACAGAGGCAATCATCTTTGACATAGATGCAATCATCTCTGACACAGAGGCAATCATCTCTGACACAGGTGTAATCATCTCTGACACAGATGCAATCATCTCTGACACAGAGGCAATCATCTCTGACACAGGTGCAATCATTTCTGACACAGGTGCAATTATCTCTGACACAGATGCAATCATCTCTGAAAACATGCAATCATTTCTGACACAGATGCAATCATCTATGACACAGAGGCAATCATCTCTGACACAGGTGCAATCATCTCTGACACAGGTGCAATTATCTCTGACACAGATGCAATCATCTCTGAAAACATGCAATAATCTCTGACACAGATGCAATCATCTATGACACACAGTCAGCTCTGACACAGGGCAATTATCTCTGACACAGAGGCAATTATCTCTGACACAGATGCAATCATCACTGACACAGATGCAATCATCTCTGACACAGATGCAATCATCTCTGACACAGACGCAATTATCTCTGACACAGAGGCAATCATCTCCGACACAGAGGCAATTATCTCTGACACAGATGCAATCATCTCTGAAAACATGCAATCATCTCTGACACAGATGCAATCATCTATGACACAGATACAGTCAGCTCTGACACAGGGCAATTATCTCTGACACAGAGGCAATCATCTTTGACATAGATGCAATCTCTGACACAGAGGCAATCATCTCTGACACAGGTGTAATCATCTCTGACACAGATGCAATCATCTCTGACACAGAGGCAATCATCTCTGACACAGGTGCAATCATTTCTGACACAGGTGCAATTATCTCTGACACAGATGCAATCATCTCTGAAAACATGCAATCATTTCTGACACAGATGCAATCATCTATGACACAGAGGCAATCATCTATGACACAGAGGCAATCATCTCTGACACAGGTGCAATCATCTCTGACACAGGTGCAATTATCTCTGACACAGATGCAATCATCTCTGAAAACATGCAATAATCTCTGACACAGATGCAATCATCTATGACACACAGTCAGCTCTGACACAGGGCAATTATCTCTGACACAGAGGCAATTATCTCTGACACAGATGCAATCATCTCTGACACAGATGCAATCATCTCTGACACAGATGCAATCATCTCTGACACAGATGCAATCATCTCTGAAAACATGCAATCATCTCTGACACAGATGCAATCATCTATGACACAGAGGCAATCATCTCTGACACAGGTGCAATCAACTCTGACACAGGTGCAATTATCTCTGACACAGATGCAATCATCTCTGAAAACATGCAATAATCTCTGACACAGATGCAATCATCTATGACACAGATACAGTCATCTCTGACACAGGGCAATTATCTCTGACACAGAGGCAATTATCTCTGACACAGATGCAATCATCTCTGACACAGATGCAATCATCTCTGACACAGAGGCAATCATCTCTGACACAGATGCAATTATCTCTGACACAGAGGCAATCATCTCTGACACAGAGGCAATCATCTCTGACACAGAGGCAATTGTTTCTGACACAGAAGCAATCATCTCTGACACAGATGCACTCATCTCTGACACAGATGCACTCATCTCTGACACAGATGCACTCATCTGACACAGATACAGTCAGCTCGGACACAGATGCAATCATCTCTGACACAGGGGCAATCATCTCTGACACAGGGGCAATCATCTCTGACACAGAGGCAATCATCTCTGACACAGATGCAATCATCTCTGACACAGATGCAATCATCTCTGACACAGATGCAATCCTCTCTAAAACAGATGCAATCCTCTCTGACACTGATGCAATCATCTCTGACACTGTTGCAATCATCTCTGACACTATTGCAATCATCTCTGACACAGATGCAATCATCTCTGACACAGATGCAATCGTCTCTGATACAGATGCAATTGTCTCTGAGACAGAGACAATCATCTTTGACACTGATGCAGTCATCTCTGACAGTGATGCAATCATCTTTGATACTGATGCAATAATCTCTGAGACAGAGACAATCATCTCTGACACAGGTGCAATCATCTCTGACACTGATGCAATCATCTCTGAGACAGAGACAATCATCTCTGACACTCACGCAATCATCTCTGAGACAGAGACAATCATCTTTGACAATATGCAATCATCTCTGACACAGATGCAATCCTCTCTGAAAATATGCAATCCTCTCTGACACTCATGCAATCATCCCTGAGACAGAGACAATCATCTCTGACAATATGCAATCATCTCTGACACAGATGCAATCATCTCTGACAATATGCAATCATCTCTTACACAGATGCAATCCTCTCTGACAATATGCAATCATCTCTGACACAGATGCAATCCTCTCTAACAATATGCAATCATCTCTGACACAGATGCAATCCTCTCTGACAATATGCAATCATCTCTGACACAGATGCAATCATCTCTGACACAGATGCAATCATCTCTAACACAGAGGCAATCATTTCTGACAGACAGCAATCATCTCTGACACAGAGGCAATTGTTTCTGACACAGAGGCAATCATCTCTGACACAGGTGCAATCATCTCTGACACAGATACAGTCAGCTCTGACACATGGGCAATTATCTTTGACACAGAGGCAATCATCTCTGACATAGATGCAATCATCTCTGACACAGATGCAATCATCTCTGACACAGATGCAATCATCTCTGACACAGGTGCAATCATCTCTGACACAGGTGCAATCATCTCTGACACAGGTGCAATCATCTCTGACACAGGTGCAATCATCTCTGACACAGATGCAATCATCTCTTACACAGATGCAATCATCTCTGACACAGGTGCAATTATCTCTGACACAGATGCAATCATCTCTGGAAACATGCAATCATCTCTGACACAGATGCAATCATCTCTGAAAACATGCAATCATCTTTGACACAGATGCAATCATCTATGACACAGATACAGTCAGCTCTGACACAGGGCAATTATCTCTGACACAGAGGCAATCATCTTTGACATAGATGCAATCATCTCTGAAAACATGCAATAATCTCTGACACAGATGCAATCATCTATGACACAGATACAGTCAGCTCTGACACAGGGCAATTATCTCTGACACAGAGGCAATTATATCTGACACAGAGGCAATCATCTTTGACATAGATGTAATCATCTCTGACACAGATGCAATCATCTCTGAAAACATGCAATCATCTCTGACACAGATGCAATCATCTATGACACAGAGGCAATCATCTCTGACACAGGTGCAATCAACTCTGACACAGTTGCAATTATCTCTGACACAGATGCAATCATCTCTGAAAACATGCAATAATCTCTGACACAGATGCAATCATCTATGACACAGATACAGTCAGCTCTGACACAGGGCAATTATCTCTGACACAGAGGCAATTATCTCTGACACAGATGCAATCATCACTGACACAGATGCAATCATCTCTGACACAGATGCAATCATCTCTGACACAGACGCAATTATCTCTGACACAGAGGCAATCATCTCCGACACAGAGGCAATCATCTCTGACACAGAGGCAATTGTTTCTGACACAGAAGCAATCATCTCTGACACAGATGCACTCATCTCTGACACAGATGCACTCATCTCTGACACAGATGCACTCATCTCTGACACAGATACAGTCAGCTCGGACACAGATGCAATCATCTCTGACACAGGGGCAATCATCTCTGACACAGAGGCAATCATCTCTGACACAGATGCAATCATCTCTGACACGGATGCAATCATCTCTGACACAGATGCAATCCTCTCTAAAACATTGGCAATCCTCTCTGACACTGATGCAATCCTCTCTGACACTGATGCAATCATCTCTGACACTGTTGTAATCATCTCTGACACAGATGCAATCATCTCTGACACAGATGCAATCGTCTCTGATACAGATGCAATTGTCTCTGAGACAGAGACAATCATCTTTGACACTGATGCAATCATCTCTGACAGTGATGCAATCATCTTTGATACTGATGCAATAATCTCTGAGACAGAGACAATCATCTCTGACACAGGTGCAATCATCTCTGACACTGATGCAATCATCTCTGAGACAGAGACAATCATCTCTGACACTCACGCAATCATCTCTGAGACAGAGACAATCATCTCTGACAATATGCAATCATCTCTGACACAGATGCAATCCTCTCTGACAATATGCAATCCTCTCTGACACTCATGCAATCATCTCTGAGACAGAGACAATCATCTCTGACAATATGCAATCATCTCTGACACAGATGCAATCATCTCTGACAATATGCAATCATCTCTTACACAGATGCAATCCTCTCTGACAATATGCAATCATCTCTGACACAGATGCAATCCTCTCTAACAATATGCAATCATCTCTGACACAGATGCAATCCTCTCTGACAATATGCAATCATCTCTGACACAGATGCAATCCTCTCTGATAATATGCAATCATCTCTGACAATATGCAATCATCTCTGTCCAGCATCTTCAGCCTGGTATACCTGCAAATAGTACCTAA